CAAGCCCCCTCCCCCTCCCTCCTCTCTGAGTGTCACCGTGCGCGCCTCTCTCTCCCTCTAGTTCTCTCTGTTGTCCTTTGTGCCGGTCCATAATGCTGCAGTACCCCTAGTACCGTATACGTGAATACCTCAGAGGTGTCGTAATTTCGGCACTAGGTTGGCGGACCGTCCTGGAGAAAAATTCTCGCCACAGAGAGGTATGCCCTTGTTGTGTGAGTCGTTGCCCTTCACCAACTTTTCTTCCTCTAGAAGATTGTTCTTGTACCTTCATAACGTTCTTGGGTTTGATCGTGTGTGAATATATTTTTGTTGCGAGAGTGTGCTCCACAAATTATAATGATGATTATTATGCCGATTTGACCGATGTGAGCAGTCTGCTAGAGTCGCTTTTAAACTGCAATTTTGCAATCTATTACCATAAAAATAGTTTTATTTTAGATCGGGTTGCTATGAGGAATTTGCTGAGTTTCTTTAATATTGAGTACAACCGAATTGTTGTTTACCTGGCCACACCAGCAATATGTAATCCATCATACTGGAACACATCATACTAATTAGAACAAAATATGAGCATGTCCACCTTTTCTGGTGTCAGATGCATTGCCACGAGCCTTTTTGCAGGCGATGGGCAGCGCCACCCATTGAAGCAAAGGGAGGTTGCAACTTTTAGTACCCCGCCACATCCACGGCACAGTGCGCATTCATTCACGGTGGTAAATGCCACATAGCCGGCACGAGCAACCAACCCGGCCGGCCGCTTGACCCAGTCGTATCGCCTTTTGGTTGGAGGCGCTCGCTGCGAGCAACGCTTCACGGTGGTACATTTCACGGGGAGGGACGGAGGGAAGGAGTGGGCATGAGAGAGATAGGCGCTGCCAGGTCACTGAATGAGCCGGTCACTGGTTGGGCTTCACTACACGGGCAGTGACTGTGGCATGATAACCCTGTCCCTGGATGCCCTACATGTCCTCCCCCAGCAGATGAGGGTGGAGGCATTAGGCCAAGCACAGCCATCCTGGGGCCCATCACACATGCATGATGGGGATGCCCTCCTTTTGAACCCCAGCAGGGAGAAGAACTCAACTAGCAGCAGCAGCAAATGCACAAGCAAGCAGACGTGCGTCTATTCATCCACCCATCGCCAGCACCTCAGCAGCGGCGTTGCTACTTGCTACTAGTAGAGAGTACACTCGCTCGAATTGCTCCAACGCTGATGATGATGTGAACTCTTTGGACTGGATTTTGTGCGTGAGATTGGCCGAGGAACATGCCGCGTTTTGGGCTGCTGGCCATTAATGGTGAGCATGACGGAAACAAAGCAAGAGAATGAAAAGCTGGTTGTCTTTTTCCATTTTTCTCTCCTCTTTTGCAAAGGGATAAGAGCAGTGTGTTGTCACCCCGGCATGTACGTGGCAGACTAGCATGTGGAAAATAAGGATGGGTAGAACTTTCATGTACTCCAATAATAATAAGAGACGTTCAACGTCGAAATTTTCAGCAAAATTTTACTGTAAGATCAAACTCGGAGCATGCATATTTGAGCTTGTTTCTGCACAAAGAGCCAGAGCTGGTGCTGCACCGCATGCATGATAGACTGGGAAAGCACATGGTGGTATTGATACCACTATTCCAAATGCGGGGGATGATGATAGCGCTGGGTGAGCTTGATTTAAGCCGGGGCTCCAAAACAGCGCAGGCGGGCAGAGGGCCCACGCCCTTGTGGCGATGCCAGAGGCTCCATTCCGAGGCACAGTTTGTCAATGTCACCATGGCCTTTGTAGCTTTTCCAGACTTTGTGTTGTGTGTTCTGTTGTTGTTGTTGCCGCTGCTGTGCTGCTGTATGGAGGAGTGATGGACTCTACATGGAGCTTTTGGGGCTCCCGAAGGGTAAAAACTATTCAATTCACCCAGAGAAAATGACCCGCCCTGCCTATATAGCCTGTGTGAATGGTGCTGGTACTGCTTATTACTACTGACCTGTGAAGCTTCATGAATTTTTACCATATGTGACAACCGGTGTGCCCTCAATTCTCTCACAGTCACAGTGAAGGAATAATAAACAAACCAAAACAAGGAGCACGCCCCAGACTCAAATCTGAAGCTGCAGCCCTAGCCAGGTTTGAACAGGCCTCTTGAGATCTGGGGGAATCAGCGTGCCACTTGCTTGCTGGACATGGACGATTAGTTTAGCAAGGCCTAAACATTGGACACAGCACCATGCATCTATAATAGACGGGCAGTATAATAAGGCGAGGAGCCATGTTACCCATGCGATTAAGATAAGCAGAGAGAGGACAAAAACTGGTTAAGGGAACCTTTGACCAACTAAAGGCTAAGCTAAGCTCACTGATTGATGATTTGAAGACAAAGCAAGCCCCGGAAAATTAAAGAAAGGTGGCCGTGCTGCGTGAGTGCGCCTTCTTGTATGTGTGTGCGCGCCACAGTGCCTCCTGGCCCCACACACCCACACACAGGCCATGCGCTACCTCACATGGAAACCGAAATTGCTTCACGGACGACAGTTAGCGCACGACCTCCGAACGATACTAACTCCCCAACTGTGCTCCTGCATGCACGCTTGCTTTTCACGCTGCCACGTAAGGATCGTTCAGTCATCGGCCGCACGTTCGTCGTGTGTATAGCAGCGCTGCATGGAAACAGGAGCTGTGTCAGCCTCTTGACTGCCCATTGGCTGGTCTTTTGCTGTTCACCTTGGCCTCCCTCCGTCCTCCTGCCTGCCCCCCTCCAGTACTCCTACTGCACTGCCCAACCCCTCCTCTCAGATTTACTACTACTTCATACTAGCTCAGGGTAGGGTTTCGTTTCTACCGTGCATCCGCAATGGTACCATGTTTCGATCAACTGATGCGCGCACATTGTACAAAATGCCAGCCAACTGCTAAGCAACAAGAACGGTAAAAGCGAATTTGACAAGGCGCAGCCGCAGTGGAGTGGAGGGAAGTTGCACCCAAGAGAATCCACCATTTATATATGTACATACACAGCTCTTACTGGAGCGCTAAGACAAAATAAACGAGGAGCTGAAGAAAGCTGGGAAAGAAAGAGAAGGAAAAAGTGGTGAGCTACTCCTATAGGTACATGACATGACAGCTTGGGACTTACGAGAGCTACAAGGGAGGGAAAATTTCTTATCGTGTACCATCAGAAGAAAATTCTAAAGCTTGCGTTGCGTGGGAACTTCAGGATGGTATCAGCATCTGAGAGACTGATTTCTACGGGCACTTCGCCCCGGCCCCAGACTGGTCGGACGGACGTGTTGCTGCCGGTCACCGCCGGCTGCGTGTTGCCGGCGGTGGTCATCTTCCTAATCTTTCTCCTCCTTGGCTTCCTTGAGGGTCATGTCCATGACCGCAAAACCTGGATCGTCGCTCAGCCCGGTGGCCACCGACGAGGTTTTCGAGTCCACCGTTGACCCAGCCTGGATCTCCTTGAACATCGTCATCACCTTGAGCATCGTTGGCCGCCTCGACGGCCTGTCATCCAGGCATGCACACGCGATTTTCAAATGCTCCAGCAGCTCCAGCTCCAGGGTAGGATCGTCCTTCAGCAGCTCCGGGTCAAACACATCCGTGATCTTCAACTTTGTGTGCATCTTCACCCATCCCACAAGATTATGGTCCTCGCCAAAATCTGTTGAATCCGTCGGCGGCTTCCCGGTGAGCAGCTCCAGCAATACAACGCCGTAGCTGTACACATCGCCCTTGGTGGTGCACCGGAAGCTCTGGTAGTACTCCGGTGGCACATACCCCGGCGTGCCGGCAAGGGTGGACACGCTCAGGTGTGTGTCCACCACACTCATCATCCTCGCCATGCCGAAATCAGAGACCCTCGCCTCCAGATTCTCATCAACGAGCACATTGCTCGACTTCATGTCTCGGTGAATGATGTGTGGAATGCAGTTGTGGTGGAGGAATGCCAATCCTCTTGCTGCCCCGATTGCAATCTTTCGCCTTGCCGCCCAGTTCAGCTTTATCCCAATCTTTTTGCGGTCATGCAGCACATCCTCCAAGCTGCCAAACTTCATGAAGTCATACATCAGCAGCCGCTCCTCACCAATCTTGCAGTAGCCGAGGAGCGGAACAAGGTTGCGGTGTTTGATCTTGCCAATGGTCTCCATTTCCGCTGTGAACTCCCGGTCACCCTGGCCACTCACATGTATTAGCTTCTTGATTGCAACAACCCTCCCATCCTTGAGCGTTGCCTTGTAGACATCACCAAATCCACCGGACCCAATCAAGCTCTCATTGTGGAAGCCATTGGTGGCCTCAACAAGATCACCCAAGGTGAGTTTCTGCAGTGGCTTCTCAAATGCAGCCAGGTTGATGCTGAGAGCATTTGTCCCGGAGAGTCTCCAATTGGAATTCATCGTGCCAGAATGTGACCGGCTATCAATGTATATATCACGGGAGGTACTTGCCTCATCATTCTTCTGCCTCCGCTTCTTGCTCTCGATGGCTATGATGACCAACCCAAATATACAGAAGAGCGAGAACAAGAGTCCCATAGCAACACTGCCTGCAAGGGACGCCTTCCTCCGGTTGGATTGGCCACCGTTGGAAGAGCCTTGCCCAGTATGCGGCTCGCATGCTGGCAGTGGAAAGCCACAGAGACCAGAGTTATTCTCATACTGGCTCTTTGGGAATGTGGCAAGAGAACCAAGCTCTGGAATTGTCCCATTCAGCTGATTACTCGACAGATTGATCTCAGACAAAGACAGTGATGAGAACGAGCTGGGTATCGGCCCTTCCAACCGGTTGTATGAAAGGTCAAGTACTGCGAGCTTCTTTGCACCAGCCAGCTCTGTCGGGATAGCACCAGACAGAAGGTTGTGCCCAAGATTCATGATCATGAGGTAATACATGTTCCCAAGCTCCTTGGGTATCTCGGAATCGAGCTGATTAAACGACAAATCCAGAAATATCATGGAGCCATTCTTGTTGAAGGTGTACTCTGTGCTCCCCATGTACATCCTTGTGAAGTTGCACAGCTTCTTGCTCGGCATCCGACCAAGGTCCTCGGATCGGATGCTTGAGAACTCCAGCAAGCTCCCCTTGCCACGACACTGGCTGCTCAGCTCGTCGTTGCGAAGATACACATAGGGCCGCCCAATAATGAGGCCAACAGTCATCTTCCCCGACTGCTCTGCGAGTTGCGGTGGAATTGATCCATTAAGTTGGTTGCTGTTGAGGTCCAGCCACACCAAGCTCTTGCAGTCACCAAGCTCTGCGGGTATCTGTCCGGTGAAGGAATTATTGCTCAGCTTCAAGATTGCCAAGTTGCTGAGCTTCCCAAGCCAAGGGGGGATCGGCCCGGACAGCCGGTTGCTTGCCAAGGATATCCAGTTGAGCTGCTTGCACTTGGCCAGCTCCGGCGGGATACTGCCGGTGAGCCCGTTGTAGTCCAGGATGAGATGCTCCAGGCCGGGAATGCTCGACAGAGACGCGGGTATCTCGCCCTCCAGTAAGTTCTGCCACATGATAAGGTCCTGGAGGCGGCCAAGCTCGCCGAGGGACTCCGGGATGGAGCCGTTGATGTAGTTGAGACTGAGGTCGAGGGAGACGAGGTCGGTGCAGTTGGAGACGGCCTCCGGGATGCTGCCGGAGAGATAGTTGTTCTGAAGGTAGAGCACGCGGAGCCTGGAGTTGGGATCTTGGCAGAGGGTGGAGGGGATGGTGCCGGAGAAGTTGTTGGAGCTGAGGTCGAGCACCTCGAGGTCCGGCAGCGCAGCGACGGAATCAGCGATGGAGCCACTGAAGTGGTTGAAAGAGAGGGACAGCGACTGGAGCTGCTGTAGGCCGGTGAAAGCGTCGGCGGGGACGTCGCCAGAGAAGTTGTTGTTGGAGAGGTTGAGGGCGGTGAGCGACGTGAGGCCGGCGATGTTGGGCGGGAAGGCGCCGGCGAGATGGTTGCTGGAGAGGTTGAGCGCCCTGAGACTGCGGCAGCCGGAGAGCGCCCCGGCGGCGACATCGCCGGCGATGAGGTTGCCGGACAGGTCAAGGTACTGCAGCCCGGAGCAGTTGGTGAAGTCCGAGAGGCCGCCGGAGATCTTGTTCCAGGCGAGGTCCAGCCACCGGACAGAGCCGAGGCCGGCACCCACCATCCAGCGGAGGTCGGCATCTCCGGTGATCTTGTTGCTGGACAGGTCGAGAGCGTCCAGGGCCGCGAACCCCTGCCCGCCACCGCCACCGCCAGCGGACTTGGCGGCACCAACCGCATCGCCGGAGAGATTCAACGTCTTGAGCCCGCCGCAGGAGGCGGCGAGCGCGGCCACGTCGGCGACGGAGCCGCGCAGCGCGGCATTTCCGGAGAGGTCGAGCTCCTGCAGCTTGCTGCCGCACCTGGCGCCGGCCGCGGCGGAGAGCGCGCCGCTGACGTTGGCGCCGCGGAGGCTGAGCCTCTCGACGGCGCTGAGCTGCAGCAGGGTGGTCGCGACGGCGCGGAAGTCGGCATTGAGCGCGACGGCGGCGAGCGAGAGCGACGTGAGGCGCCCGCCCCTGCACACCGCGCCGGGGAACCTGCAGGCGCCGTCGCGCGCGGCCCAGCCGTCGAGCGCGTCCCGGCTGGGCAGCGCCGCCCTGAAGTCGTCGAGCAGCTGCGCGTCGTCGGCGGCCGCGAGCGCCGCCAGGAAGAGGAGCGCGGCCGCTATCGCCAGCCGCAGGGAATCCATGGAGGAGCGCGCTCTACCTTGAGACCATAAGAGAAGCGGTCTGCAGAAGTGGGAGCAGAGAGAGAGAGAGGAGGAGAGAGGAGGGAGAGAGTGGGAAGTGAGGGGGAGGTCCAACTCGAGATGGTGGTGGTGGGGGGAGAGAAAGAAAGAAAGAGGGGAGAAGAAGCGAGAGAGAGAGAGGAGAGAGGAGGCGGGGGGCAGATTAAACAGCTGTAGGTAAGAGGGGGCAGTGGTGGTGGGGTCACATGGCATGTGCCCCCGTCCGCCAACGAACAAATCGTGGTAGTAGTAATCCGCGGTGCGATTTGATTAAGCTAACCAAAGCTAAGCACGGTGCTTATCCGCTAGTTACGGCGACGCTAACCAACCAGGAGCCCGATCCCATCGCCGGGGCGGGGCGGGGCGGGGACAGGCGCTGCTCTGCTCGAGGCGCGCTCACGTGCCGCCGGGCCTTGCGAGGCGAGGCCGGAGGAAATGACTGCTTTGGGTCTCATCATCATCATCGTGGGGAAGGAGGAGCGAGGTCGCGGTCCGAGCCGGGCGTGCGGAGGAGGAATCCGGGACGCGTGGGCTGCGTTGCTTCGCGAAGGGTTTTTGTCTTTAATTCCGAGGTGGGCTGGTAGATCCGATCCGGGCG